ACATAAACAAGCATACACATTTATAAATAGACAGCAATTTTTCATCTCTAAAGAACCGCTGAATATTTTAGCATATGCATTTCATGTTTATGGCTGCTGCTTTATTAGTTCCTCTAAACATACTGGAAGAATTTAGACAGAGGGAAAAGCACAGTGGCAGAAATTCTAAGCAGAACAATGCCAAAACCACAGAGCTTTATGGGTGTAGGCATTTTTGTTGATACTTGTATGTGAACCATACAGTTGATGTCAGTCAAAAAATACACTTCCTCACAGTATGGTTATACAAGAGATTCCTCTTCAAGACTCCAATTTGCTGAGCAAAAAAACCTATCTTCTGAATCTGAAAAGTTTATAATACTATGTTAAGACACAACTACAGACAGCTGAGACAGAGGGCAACAATGACACAGCCTTAGCTAGTGTGATAAGCACTATTCTCCACTCTTTTTAAGAGGGATGGGGACAGACTGTAACACAAAATAAGTATGACTACAGGACATTAAAATAAGTTCAGCATCCTTCAATTACCTACTACATAACTAAATTTAAAATTCAGTTTATATAAAACTGGATGTATAAAGTTCAACAAGCAAAGTGGGAAAAATGTATTTTTGCAGTATCTGATACTACAACAGTCTAATTCAACAGACTAACAGTCTAATTCAAACAGAAATGAAAGGTGGCATGATTTCTAAATTTACAGAATACAGTTCAACAATTATGGATGTTTTCAAACTGTAGAACTGCAAATATCACAGCCTTAATCCAACACACAGAATTGCAGAAAAAGGGAATGACAAGCCTGTTTTGGAATCCGGATCAAACTAGGCTGAGATCTGTCTTGTGAAACAGCTTTAGGACAGCAATAATACTTAAGTTTGAACACAGACTCCCAAGACTAATGTCAGCATCTTTACTTCAGTATCTCTATAGCAAACATCAGCGTTCATACATATACACAGTGCAGAATCCAGATAGGATTAGCTGCATTGACCTTCCAGAGTGACAGATGAAAAAAGCAGTAAAATTTATTTTGAACATGAGAGATGTAGCTCTATTTATGAAGATACATCAACTAGACTAATTAAGAAGACACAAAATTTATAAAAATCTTCATTGAGGGAACTACACTTCAAGTGGTTGACTTCATTAACATATACTGATAAGCCCCTTTATCTTAATCCCTTGCATTTATAAATTCAGAATCATAGAATCATTTATGTTGAAAAAGACCTTTAAGATCATCAAGTCCAACCATTAATGTAGCACTGCCAAGTCCACCACTAAACCATGTCCCTAAGCACCACATCTACACATCTTTTAAATACCTCCAGGGATGGTTGACTCAACCACTTCCCTGGGCAGTCTGTTCCAGTGCTTGACAACCTTTTTGGTGGAGAAATTTTTCCTAATACCCAACCTAAATCTCCCCTGGCACAACTTGAGGCCATTCCTCTTGTCCTATTGCTTGTCACTTGGGAGAAGAGACCAACACCCACCTCGCTACAACCTCCTTTCAGGGTGTTGCAGAGAGCAGTAAGGTCTTCCCTGGGCACACTGCTGGCTCATATTCAGCCACTGTCAACCAGCACCCCCAGGTCCTTTTCCATCAGGCAGCTCTCCAGCCACTCTTCCCCAAGCCTGTGGCACTGCTGGGGGCTGTTGTGACCCAAGTGCAGGACCTGGCACTGAGCATTGTTGAACCTCATATGACTGGCCTCAGCCCATCGATCCAGCCTGTCCTCTGGACTCGCTCCAGCAGGTCCACCAGTCACAGTGTGGTGATGCTTTGCTGAACCCATCTCCTCTCTCCTTGAACTCATACCAAACTTTCAGTATCTGCAAAATCCAGGGGAATGGAGATTTTCATCTTACCTCTGCATGACCCGAGTAACCAGTGCTTTTTGTTTGTTTTGAATCTGGCTCCTTGATGTGACCTAGGATTTTTACTGGATGAGTTACTGAATAATCACCTTTCTGTGCCACTAGGTTTTTGTTCTAACACTGTATCTCCATTTGATAATCCTTTTTCTAGGTTGAAGAAGTCAATCCACCTACTGTCACTGGCATGAAAGCCCTTCTCTGCCTTCCACTGTCCTTGACACCCTTCTCCAAACTTTTCCAGTTCTACCATATCCTCTTCAAGGAGAAGGGAAGAGATGAGACCTACAGATAATATTAATAACATAGGAGTACCATGGATTTATTCAATTGCCCAGTGATCTTCTTTTCATCCTCTAAAATTTCTAATTTTTTTCTAATTTTTTTAAAATTTAATTAAATGGGTTTTTTATTTTTTATTTTTAAAATTATTATTTTTTTAAATTTTAATTTATTTTTTAATTTAATTAATTATTTTCCAAAATTTTTCTTTTTTTTTTTCTAAAATTTCCTAATGCTTCTTTCCTAAAGTTAAAGCTTATGGTCTTGTAAACAGCAGACCTGTTTTAATTGGGTAGAGCCCGTGCTTTGGCATGAAGGGATGTATCTTTAAATAACAACATTAAATGAATATTAAAATTATATCAGGTAAAACAGTGGATTACAGTATGTATGTAATTGAGAATGGATTGTTTGATTAGACTGTACAGCTTCACAGACAATTACATTTGGGGAAATGAGAGCACACGGCATACCTAAACTGCTTAACAATTTCTGTTATAAGTTTCATTGTCTCCCCTTGTTTTCAAGTCCCTGCTATTTGGGATGGAATCACCCTGAGCCACACACAGACTTTATCTGCTGGAGTTCTAATTAGGAATGGCTAAGATAGGGAAAATTTGAATTGTAAGGTTTGCCACTTCCCTCTTCATGTGGTTTCTATGAAGAACTTAAATTTCCTCAGAAAATTTCTGGTAGTGTGACAAACAAAAAAGCCCTGAAATCTGAACCATTGTGTGCTTTGGACACTCTCTCTGCCATCCATGAAAAGAAATGGTTACCATCACTACGCGCACACCAAAATACCAAGGGGAAAACAAACAAAACATGCTTTGCCTACCCACTGAAACCTAGACATGCCTTGAAAACTAAGAAGGTTCATGGAAGCAGTTCAGAAACACATCACTGAAAAAATACAAATTATAAAATACAAATAAAGGCATTAAAACAGTGTAATACAAATATTTCATAATAGAAACACAGCAGAATTTTTAATAAACTTGGGAAAAATATCCTGACTACAAAATTCTCAAACCTTATGATAGGGAGGAATATTGATAAGTAGCTAGCCCTGTGTGTGGTGAACCTTGCCCAAATCCTGGATGTTAACTTGAAGTGTTCTTGCACCTGCAGATAGGAGTCTCATCATGAGTGTAACACCAGCAAGAACACTCCTGCAGGGTGGCCCTGTTTTCCTGAGTAGTGAGGTCACATTATTTCTTCATTACAATTATAGCAAATAGGTGAACTTATTCCTGCCCAGCCAGACTAAGCTTATACACTGTGGGTATCTGAAGCAGTCTGATCTTATTCTGTGATTAATTCCAAATATAAAAGTTAGAAAAATTTATTCCATCTATAGCCTCTCCTGTATATCCTATTTATTTAATTCCTCTTCCCTTGAAATGTCTCTCTCACTTACTTTAGCCTAAAAGCACCTCTTAAAGCCAATGTTTTGGCTTTAAAATCTATTCTAGAACACTTATAATGTCTACGTTTTGTTATCTTTTGCATGAAATACAGAATATTCTTTGGTTTTCAACACTGTAAGTAAGTATCTGGCAAAATGGTTAATAAGTATTGTAATCCATTAAGGAATCACACAGACATCTTGAAATTGAAGCTCCAATTAAATCTTCACTTATAAATTTGATATAGTTTTCTTTTCCTGCAAGTGACGAGTCAGAATATTAAAGATGTAAATAAATCTGATTTTACTGTTGGACTCTGCTACATGCCATGCCAGCTGATAGGGGATCGGCTGGAATTCAGTCAAGATAAAGCATTAAAACCATGAAGTTTCATATGCATGGAGAAAGAAGAACTTCTTCCTAGCAATTACTTTTTATCTCTTTTCTTCAGTATTTTTAACTATGTAAGTATGCTTAAACTGTATCTAATAAAAAAACCCAACATGAAACAGTGAAATATATACATAGGTGAGGCTAAAGCATCTTTCAATGGTTTCTTGAATAAAGTTCTCAATTATGCAAAATTTGACAATATTAAAGATGATTCATAGCATAGTATGGAGCCCAAACTGATAAACCTCTGCCTACATGAAGAGCATCAAATACCAAGATACTAGGAGGAAAGGGGGGCAGTGGGACAGCGGCACTAACGTTTAAGAGGAGGCAGGAGACGATGATAAGGAACAGCAAGACGGACTTCAGGGAGAAAGGGGTGGCAGCCATAAACCCCACCCAACCAAAGACCCGGGGCTCCCTTTGATGAGTCGGTTAATAGAGCTATTTGTTGAATTGGCTGTCATCTAGCGGAATTATAGCACATTGCACCACACTTCTTTCAGGTCTGTGTTTCCCTGACAAATTATAAAATGTTTAAATTTTTTATTTGGTCTCAAGAGTAAGATTTTTGTAGTATTTTTTCCCAAAATCAACTATTTCTGAAGACTTGAAAAAACCCCACTTCTATCTCCCGTCATGTCTGAAGATATTTCTTGATACATTTTTGTCTTTCTAGAATTCTTTTTTTTTTTTTTTTCTATACTAAACAATCATATGGCAGGCTGGCCCTTTTTGTGTTTCATTTAATGATTTTTGAGATTGAATAATGTAAACTAATGAAACAATTTAACTTGAAGGACTTTACTGATGAATATGAATCTTTAATCAACTTTCCATAGTGAAAAGTACAGATGAACCAAAAAGCTAGCACCACCTTCTTTCCCCTTGGACACTCAGTTCTCATTTCAGATTCAAAATAATCAATTCCAGACAGTGATAAAAATGGAAGTGAGATGAAAAGAGCTTGAAAACCAAATAGCATATTGCATGGCTTGCACAGTTATTTTTGGAAAAGAAGAAAAACGACACATGGAGTGTAAAAGGCAGCAAATCAGTAATGTAACAACCTCAGATTTCATTATTTCTTGTGTTGCAATGTAGCTAAAACAATGCACCTTTCTATGCATGTTTCACTCTCATTACTGGCAGTAAACTGTATCTCTCACAAGAATGCAGCCTCTGACTTTACATCGTCTATTCCCACATCCCCCACCTCATTTTTTAAAATTATTATACAATGATAATGTTGTCTATGAAGCCCTTTTAAGTTGAATTCAGTAGTTCCCCACTTGTTTGTAAGCTCTATAAGGACAATTGTTTCATGATGTCTTTGTACAGGACTCAGGAAAACGTTTATTTGACTGGCTTTAGAACTGCTAGGCTGTATGTTAACTGTTAAAAGAAAGTCACAGTAAATAACGTGTTAACCGAGCTCTCTCGACAGAGCCCAATTCCGGAGCTCTGCAATACCAACTTTTGAAAAAAACTGTTTTTCCAGCACATCTGCCAAACTGCTTCTTCATCCTCTGACTGAGGACATTTCACCACATGCAGTCTCACTGTAGGCTTAAGTGTAACAGAGCCAAGGCTGCCACCCAAAGCCCTGCCATTTCCCCCTTCCCATTGCTCTCGTTCTCCCTGCCTCCCCCTGTGCCTGCGGAGGTTTGCTGCTTCCGGAGCTACGCAGGCCGAGACCCGGCCAGCACGGCCCTTCCATTGGAAACTAACGCTCGGCCGCACCACGATCAGCCCAAGGCGACCATAGAAAGGGCCCTCACGCCCCGAGGTACCTCGTTTCTGGGCCCCGCGGAGCGGCGGGGAGACTCCCGGCACCCAGGGTCGCGGGCGGAGAGGGCGGGCCCCGGCCCACCCGGGACTTCTCGAACCGCACTGAGGCGGCCCTGAAGCCCGGCGCCGCTGAACGCGCCTTCCACCTCTACACTGGAGCCGCGGTTTTCCTGG